GAGATATTTCTCACACTGACTCGTAAATAGCATCTTTGGGTGTGCAGCATTGCCAAATTTACCCTTGTTACAGGGGCAACTTACAGTAAGTTCCCACCATAGCCATACACCATCTGTTTGAATTACTTAGAGGAAAGGTTCATCTCCTTTTTCCCCTTCTATTAGATGTGACAGATTAATGTCTTTGAGGGCAGATCACTGTTAGGCTAAATCTTTCTCTGGTTATGATTCCTTATAACTATAAAACAGTCACAAGGTTATGGGGTTTAAAAAGAGAGGTTTATTGCAGTTTCCAGCACTGAAACTACAGGCTAAGTGTTTCCCCTTTTCTCTTATTTTAAGAGCAAATCAAATCCATCCATACAGACACACACTCTGCCTTCTCTCAGACATACAGACCTGGGGAAGAACACACAATTCAAGAGCTGCATTATAGAGTCTACAGCAAAACTACTAAAATAGCTTTCTGTGAATGCATACTAAGCTTCCCTCTGAGTCCTCTCCACTTGTTTTAAGAACTGTTTGCTGAGCATGAGTTGGTGGCACCCCTAATGTTTGGGGCAGAAGTTGGAGCCTTCAGCAGCTCTACCAGCAGTTGTTTCTACCAACTGCTCATAAAAGCTGTGCCCGTGCCTTGGCTTGAAGCTGCAAGGTATCGACTGGTCAGACATCTGTTGCAAGGCCCCTGGTTCGATACTTGTCACACTCCAAACTAGTCGTTAAACTCAGCTGATGAACTAAATCCTACAGTCCTTAGGTCATGCCAGGAGCTGCGCAGGAGGCAGAAGGGTGCTGATATTGCTATAATTTAAGTTCCCTGCTGAGGAGTTTCTGCAGGAGTGAGATTTATTCATGGTATTGTTTTTGAGCCAGTTTGTAAGAATGCTGCTGTGGTCAGTAGGAGACTGATCTGAATTTTCCTTGGAGTGGCTTTTTCAGGGAACAGTGTAGTTTCTTTAAAACGGAAACATTGTTTTTCTCCTAGAAAAGCACAATGCTAGATTTCTGATCAGCTGTAATATTAATAAACTAGATTTTACCAGAAATGTTACACTGATCTGTCTATGCTGCCTGAATGGGAATACCTCTTCGTTTTGCTTTTCTCTAACTGATCTAAAAGGCTTCACCTGGGATTGGTTCAAAACATTGCCCTGGATTCCAGGTCATCCTTGACTGCTCAGGGAGCTGTTGACTGAGGTACCTATTCTGCTGGACTCTGAGGACCCTGGCCTTGCCATATGGCAGCACAGGTCTCCCAGGGGCCATGCTGTGCCACAGGAGACCGCAGAGTGTGCTTTGGGAACTGCCTTCTAGCACGGGAGTCTCACCCAGAAGTGGGGCCAGGGTTACCAGGCTTGCCAATCTGCAGTGACTGAGGCAGTGCAACCCTGTGGGAAGAAGAGCAGCTCAACATTGCACTGACTCAGAACAAAATTTCTCAGGTCAGGTCACCAAACCAAAATGAACTAACTTTGGTTTCAGTAATGTAAAATATTCCATTTCAAATGACACAACATGCACTGGTGTTCACAAATAGGTTTCCTTTTGTTTTTGGTTTTGGTTTTTTTTGTTTTTTTTTTTTCTTTTTAAACTTGTGAACTTCCATTCTACATAGTCTCTAATTTCAGTTTTTCTACCTGAATTGGGATGAGAGCAAATGTTGAAATACTGGAATTTCTTCCTTTCTGGGGAGGAGGCAGCTGGTGAGTAAGAGCAACCAGTTTCAGGATTGGGACAGCTGATTCTGAAGCCCTGTACACTGGAGCAGAGCAGGCGATGGAGGGGCAGATAGGCCATGGAGAGGGGAACACACGGGCACAAGGAGGGAAATAGGAGACAGGAATGAGAAACAGCAATGAGGGCTAGAACAAAAGGAGGAGAGAGCTGAAGTTTCTACTTGTCTCCCTGGGCTGTAGAACAGCTCTGTTTCTGTGCTATTACGCTGCTGGTCGTGCCTGGCTCAGCACCCTGTGCTTGGCTCAGTGTCCAGCAGATGTGTGGGAAGGTGCCACTCCGAGAGCTCCTGTCCCAGAGCACGGGAGGAGCTCCTTGCAGAGGTCAGGGGCTGGGTGAGGTGGAGCTGGGGGTCACAGCAGTGCACGGCCAGGCAGTGCTGCAGGGTTTCACTTCTGCTTGCAGAGCAGTTGAGTCCTTCTGTGCAAATGGAACAGGGGTGAATGCAGAATCAAAAGCTGAGCACTTCTGAGTTCTCATCCCGGCTCTGAGCAGGGCACTGCAGCACTTGTGAGTTACAGACTCTCTGCCACTGAGTCTTTTTCTGCAAAGTAGAAAGCACAAGAATACTCTTCTTTGGTGGGAGTAGGAAGAAGCACTAATGACTGTTCTTAACACTGCAAAGTATTTATTATTTAGCAAGTTTCTTGACTTTTAAAAATAAACCAAATTGATACACTCCATCCATCAGCAGTGCCCTCGAGGAATGAGTAGCTAATTAGAGAGCAGGACTTGTGAAAAGACAAACCTGGGTTATGCACAGAACAGGTTTCTCCAGTATTTATTGCCTACGTTACTGGCCAAGCTTCCTTGTAAGTAATAGTCAAATAATCGGCCTGGGTCCTTTTGTGAATGGCTTGAGTCTGTGTGGTCCCTCCTTTGTTAGAGCAACTCATGGCTTCTGAAAGCTTCTGCACCCCCTGTTCTAAACAGCAGAGCCTGGTGGCACCAGCTGCTTCTGCCTGGAACAAACATTTGCATGTGACATTAAAAAGAAAAAAAGCTAGTTTCAAAATGTATTTTCTTTTCCTTATCCCCTCATTTTTTAGCCCTAGTTCAAACTCTGGAAATATTTAAAAGATTAATATATTTAGATTTTGCTACAAGCATCTTTTAAACAAGTAAAGCTTTAAGAGGAAAGAGAAATCTTTCCTTCAGAAATAAGACAGCAGCCAGTGTTTGGAAATATTTTAACAATAGACCATATGGGAGTCCCAAACTATTAAGCTTTATTATTCAGAAGGCGGAAAATGTGGTTTGATATTCAATTGATATACAGCATAAATGAGAGCCGCAGACTCGGCTCCCTTGAGCTGGGATTCAGATGTTCTCTTGAATATAATAACCAATGCTTTGGCCTAGTTCCACAGAATGCATCCAGCCTGCTGATCACAAGCCAAGAAACTGTAGGCTTTTTTTCCCCTTCTCCTCTCTTCTCCAAACTACTTTCCTCTCCTGCCAGCATGAGCTTTTGGCCTGAATATAAATCTCCTGATACTGGATGTGTATAGAAAGTGGGGAGGATGCTAATGGTGCACAGCAGTGGAGCTGTGTGTGTGCATGTGTGTGTTTGTTTTTCTTCTGCTTTCATGATAAGGTTTTCCCCTTGCAATGTGCTCTCAGGGGATTACATTGGTCATCCTAGGTTGAAGCTTCTTTGTTCATGTCTCACTGTTTGTTTCTTAGTGCTGTGGGAGCAGGTGAATATCTTTTGGGGTTCCTGTGAAGTGGTGCCAGAGACCACGAGAGTGTGAAATTTATTGGAGGGAGAGACTGGAAGAGGTTTCAGTTTCTTTCAGCTTTCCCCCCCCGCCCCCCCCCAGCGCCGCCCT